GAACAAAAATGAAAAGCTATTTTATTTGCAATATATTCTGTAAATTTTATGATCAGTACCCATCGATTTCACCTTCATTCTAAAACTGCAAAAATGCAAGAGAAGGCAAAAAAAAGTGGAAGAAACTTTATTTTGAGAACGTATATGAAGAGAATAATGTTTTGCTTATTTCCAAGTTACGCTGTTTCTTCCTTTACAAAATGCTATTTTGACTTCTCCTTCTTCAGACTACTGAAAAGCACGCTAAAATTGTGTTCTATGTGGTAGTTGCTTAAAACTGATTGATTGCCATAGTGCGTTTTTGCACGGGGCTCTATAGCAGTAATTTTTTTTAATAGATGTTTCAAGCTTTACTTTATTAAAATTTTAACTCGCGGTTTTTTCAAACAACTGCAACAACAAAATTGAACCTTTGAATTCTGAAATAAGACTTGAAGCAATCAGTTTCTGTCACGTTAATCTCGAACTTATAATCGCGAAGCACATTATTTCCTGTACCATATTCATGCATGTAGAATGGCAATACATCATCAAAGTTGATAAGACGTTATGTTTGTTGAATATTGAACAGTAGCAACTTATTATCTTTTTTAACAAACTTTTTTGCTTTGATGTTCCACCAATTTTGTGTAAACATACAACCTTTACGCTTTTGTTCTTTTTTTTTTCTTTTAATAATCAATAGCAATTGTTAGAACCACTGCATTGTGCTAAACTGTTGTCTAGACTAGGACCTAGTTCACGCTTAGAAATTATTGGTACAAAGAATTGTATAATATACAAAAATCTGTTAATATAGGGTTTATTAACGTGTCAAAATGATGTATTACTTGCATAAATTTGTGCAAATTTTCCAAACTGTTCTTTTTTTCTATTGTTTACACTTAGAAGTATCAGAATTGGAAAATTTTTTTTTTTTTGAATAGTCACCAATGTGATGTCGACTTTTCAAAATATAACTTTTGTTGCGCTCAGATCACTAATTACCAACTGTCGAAAATGAACCGAAACTGATGTTGCCCGGTAAACGTAAACTTAATGTAGCAGGAAATATTCGCTTGGAAACAGTTAGCAAAATAATACAACAATGTATTCATATCTTCAAACAACTTTCTGACGTCATTAAGTTTCAAAGTTCTTTAACAAAAAAAAAAAAAAGAAAAAAAAAAGTTGTGTTTTCAACTTTGCACTCAGTGTTCTCTGATTTACTTGAATACTAATTATTATATGTGGTCGAGTGAAGCATATTTAAAGACAGAAAGGCTTCAGTGATATATGCAAAATTTTTGAAATTTTTGGTATAAGTACGTTTATCACTGTAACATTTGAATACAAAAACTTTCAAACTGGATTTTAAACTTTGATAACACCTCATATATCTAGACCTGTTTTTTTTTTTTCACTCACGAAAGGTCTTTCTACAAAATTTCATTATTTTTTACTTAGTTTCACCAAAGCCATAATTTTTAAAAAAAGAACCTCACACTTATAATTGCTTTGATTTCAATGAATACGAGAGATGTGTCAAAGGCTTCCCAAATAGATCTTTATATGGCTACTTTAATGAGTACTGCTAAAATGCCGAAAGACCACACATTTCTGTTTTAAGTGACTATGACATAGGTTAATCACTGCGGTTCTTGTCCGTTACATTTTCAGCTGACCGTATTACGTTCATATGTTGATAGAAACATCTTACCTCACTGAAGACAAATGACTGGCAGCTATTTTAGCTTAAAAGAAGTTCACTTAAAAGTCTATAATACTTATTATTTTAGTAACTATCACAGGTAGAAAATAAAGAGGGTTTGTTTCTGGTTTGTTCTAAGCACTTTATAATGTAAAAAATTCTTTAGCAGTGTTTGTTTACACAAAAAAATATTTTAGACTGTAACTTTCTTTATTAATCTCAAAATCGTAACATCTAAATTTGAGCTCTTAAACTAATTTTGTACATTTGCTTTTGGAAAGCGAAGCAAAGTTTAAAAAGTAAGTTTTCTTCACTTTTTATTTTTTTGAATTTAGTTTTTTTGACTGTTGTTGACTCAGAGAATAGTCGATTATGCAAGTTGAATACCATCAAAACAAGCCTTAGTCAAACTGATCGTTGGGTACAATTCAGTAAACAAAATAGGTATCACATATCATCTGAAATAAAAATGTCAAGTTATATGCAAATATTGGCAGTTTATCAAATAATTTAATCTAAAAAAAAAAAAAAACGAAGCATTTTATTTCACAGCCAATAGTCTTCACAAATATTTACAGTTAAAATATTCAAAGGCGTAAAATTTGTCTTTACAAAAATGAAAAAACCATTTTAACTTATTGCTAATGCATCGTTTAGTTATCAGAGCTTCAAAATTTAAGCTCTTTTTTTTGTTGCCAAAAAAGATTTGTTTCTTTTTTCTTTAACGACACTAAATTCACATTACAATTTAAAGTTTAAAATAGTTATTTTGAGTTTTCAGCATCTAACTTAGTCTATTTTCTTTTTTTTTTGTTTATTGTAGCATCGCAAACGTTACAAAGCATTTCTTCAAAAAGTCGAATTTTATTTATTAATATACTTTTTCTGATACTTTTATATTTGCTGCTGATAACCTTCGTACATTTATCTACAGATAAATAATAGTTGTTTAGGAATAATCTACTTAAATACTGAAAAAACGAAAAGTTGTAATTATTAAAGTTCTTTGCTGTACTGTCAAATCAAAGTCATTGTGTTAGAATTTAGAAAACTGCATTTTGACACATAGTAAAAAAAAAAGATGCATAAACTCACTTTATGACAGCTCTGAAAAAAAAAAAAGTTGCATACCAGTGAAAGATTATCTGAAATAAAAGTGTACAACTGTTTTGAATTTAATACAATTTGAATAGCTGATAAAAAAATCGGTAAATCTTTTGACGATTTTGCAGCAAAAATTAACAGAGTTATTCAATTCATACTGAGTAAAGTTTAAACACTTATTCAACCTATATTCTTCAGATAATCGTTGAAGTAAAGTCATTTCTTTTTTTTTTCTTCAAATTTATCCAATATTGCTGCTGAAAGTTTAAATATATTTGTTCAAAAAACTATTGCATTACAGCGGATTAATCTATGTCAAAAACTATTTGTTTTGCATTAAAATCAACCAATGTAATAATACAGCTGAAACTGATGTTAATATTTTGTTCAGCAAAACTTAGTGCACAGTAATTTTGCTTGTTCTAAACGATAAAAAAAAAGAGAAAGTGACAGTTCAATAGCTTTACAGGTGTTTTTTCTTTTTTTTGAATAAAGATAAATAATTTTAGAAAGTACGGTGAGTTTTTTTGCATTTATTTCATTTGAATAAATAGCAGGGAAAGTGAAGGTAACAGTAGTAAAGAAGCCAAAACTATCGATGTTATTCTGTTAATGTACGAAAAAAAGCAATAGCAGATAGAACAATGCTTTATTGAAAACTACTGCATAACCTGTACTCGAATTTATACCCGAAGTTCTTTCATAAGTTTTTGTATAAAAAAACGACAAATACTGAAACTTCTGCTATAAAACACAACACTCTACTAAACACTGGACGATAGTTTACTAAAACAGGTTTTTTAATAAATTACTAAGAGAAAAAAACAGCAAAAAGAAACATAATCAAAATTATACAGAAATAAAAGTTATTCAATTTAATACCAATACCTCTAATTACAGCAAAAATAAAAAAAATAAAAAAATAAAACAAAAAAAACAACATAAAGTTTCTAAAATAAATAATACATTATAAAACTATTTCTGACAATAAAGATAAAAAAAAACCTTCTTTGAGAAAGAGAGATAAAAAAAAATGCACATCCTTAATAGCAGTTTAACCATCAATAGTTATAGATGAATTTGAAAAGCAAAAAAGAAACGTGTCTGAACAAATGCTGTTGATACAGTTTAGTGATAAACCAAAACCAATAGAATAGCAATAAACAGTAAAATATTTGATAACTTTACATTTCAATTAGTTAAAAAATAAAATTTTTTTAGGTTACTTTATCCTTCATTCTAAAGATATCTGACAATTTCAGACAACTGGCTTGATTTTATTGAATACTCATTAATAAATATACAGTTATTCAACAGTATTCAACTGTAAAATTTGTACAAACATTAAATTTGCTAACAGCTTTGATTGATAAACTCAATTTTCAAATTTATTCTTTTTCTGACTCTTTTCTTATTCGATTCCATTTTCATTTTTGAAGCAGAAAAGAAAAAAAAACTATAAAAGCGACTCTGATATATTAAAAACAGTTTGTTTTTAGTGTTCACAAGTGTACATTTTCGTAATGAGAATCCTGACGTATTTGTGAAAACTATCAATGGCAGTAGCTTTGAAAAAATAATTTTAGCAAAAATAAATCCAAAAGAATTACAGCAAAATGATATCGATTCATCTTCTTCTTGTTTCAGTGTTTTTCTTTCTATTGCCGTCGTTATTTATATCAATGTTTATATTTCCGAGAATGAATTCTGAAAATAAAAAGCAGGAAAAGTTATATGTAAGTTTTATGAAGTTTAGAGACTTGTAAAAAATTAATTGTAAGAATAGCTGTCTACTGTTGTCGATATGTAAATCTATTTTTTAGCCAAAAAAAAAGACATGTTTTTTGGAAGTAAAATAATTATTTTTCTGCATTGTCTCACTTGCAGATTAATGCTTACTTTTTGATTCATTGTATATCTGTACCACAAAACAAGTGTTTATAAAAACTATTGACTTTCTGTATAGACTAAGCGGTCAAATTGTTTAGCAATTAGGAAGAATTTACCTTTAAAAGTTGCTGTTGTTGATGCTGTTGAAATAAACTGTGTTGATAAAAATTCAGTTGTTCACTCTGTCAAATGATAACCAATAAATATTTGATAACACGCACATCCAATTAATGCACCAAAAAATGGTGCTACAATTGGTATCCAAAAATAATAATTATGATATATAAACATATCAGTTCCATAGCCAATTGATGCAGCAAAAATTCGTGCACTGAAATCTAGAGCTGGATTGATTGCTGCGCCAGTATTCAGACCATAACTGTTGCTTATTGCTGTACAAACCATACCATAGAGGACTGGTTGTACACTGAGTGCAATATTGTTTTTTTTCTCGTTGAAAAATGTTACAAAAATTGCCAACAGTGCAGTACCGGTGACAATATCAGCAAAAGCTCCAAAGTTGGATACATGTTCAGCCGGAAATGATGCAAACATTACACCGGTGCTAATATTTTTTCCAGATGCCGAAAAAACGCCAGCAGTAAAATTTCTGATTGCTTCATAATGAACACTATAGCACAAAGCTGTACCAACAAATGCTCCAAAAAATTGTGCACAACAATACCAGAAAGCGTGAACCAGTTCAACTCGACCACATAACCAACTAAGTATCGACAACGCTGGATTTAACAGTGAACCGGATGTATTCCAAGCCAAAAAAATTGCCATTACAACTCCCATACCCCAAACAAAATTCATTTGGAAATAGTTGTATAGGCCAATTACATAACAGATAGATGCACCGGTACCTATAAATCGAAGAAAACCGGTAGCAAAAAATTCTGACAATATGTTACGAATCAAAAGATTTTCAATCCTGAACAAATTCTGCCAATTAGTTGGAGAAATTTTTTTTGCAGCTTCAAATCTTTCTTTTACTTGTAAATACATTGGTAACTGCAGTTTATTATCCATTACTGAACGATTATTTTAACAGTGAGAATTATACTGAGAATAATAATACGAAGAATTATAAGGATGATAGTAGTGGTGTTATCGGTAATATTAATAGATTTGAACAGTGATGAGAACAATAAAAAGTAATATGGTGATTATTTGATCGGGGAACAAGAATTTTACAGTTTCTTGACCAAGGTCAATATTCACAGGAAAGCAGCAGCACACTAAAACAACGTCGAGCTCATCGCTCTGAAACAAACAAAGTTTTGTTTGAATATAGTCGACCTTTTCAGCGGCTTTATATAGGTTTATTATGTAAAATAATGAGTTGAAAAAAAATAAAAGTGTATTGTTCTATTATGCAACAAGAATTGCAAAATTACTGTTTCAGAGAACCGATTTACAGCCAACAGAGTTTGAAAATTTTACATTTTTGAAATGGTGGTTGAACAAAAACGAAAAAAGGTATCGTACCAAAGTTTTGAAAATTTAATGATTACATTTTAAACGATTAGATTAAAGTTATCAAAGTATGTCAATTCGTAAATCACTGAACAGAAAGTGGCAGTTAAATAACGACAACAACTGAAATTTCAATGTGGCTGAATTACACGTGAAAAAGGTACAAAGAACCAGCATAAAGTAATGCAGTTATGCAAATTTGCAAAGGGGTTTATGTACAACAGAATATTTTCTTTTGGTGTTGATGTGTATCCTAATCGATTTGACTTATCAAACATATCGTCGTAGCATCAGCAGTATGCAAAGTACTTGTTTTTGGTTGATTTCATAAATGATTATAAGCCGATTAGTTTCTACTTATTTAGTCTGATGCTACTGTAAGACAGGCAAGAAGACTTTTAACCAGTAATGTATTATGTCAAATCACTACTCTGCCACCAAAAGATAATGTTACTGCCATTGTTAACTTTTTACAAAACAAAAAACAACTTTGTTATTATTATCAACAAAAAAAATACTTAATAGTTAGTTAAGAATTAGACAATAGCCGATTATAATTTGCTAAAGCTTGTTCGTTATGAGGTAGTTTTTTTTCAAAAATTAAACTAAATGCTCAGCTAAGTGATTTTGATACACCAAAGAAATTGTTTTTGACAATTGAACAAAACATAAGCAGCAGCTTTTTTTGAAGGTCTGAATTTTATGTATTTTGTATACTTTAGTTTAGTTAACTGTTTGAAATTATCACCTCAACAAAAGTTTGCCAAAGTTAGCATCAAACTTTGTAAATAATTAAACTTAAGAAAAAGAAAAAAGGCTAAATAGCTTTTAGGTGTTACTGCATAAACTAGAGATGTAGTTTATATGTCTGTAGTTATACTTGTAGTCTAAACTTTTTGATTTGAAAGTCTAAAAACCAGAGCTTTGAGAATGTATTTCAGGCATTAATCATAGAACTTTATCATTGAAATAACCGATCAACAGACTAACATTTCTGTTTCAGCAGTTTAGTGCCTCATTTACAATTTCCACTATTTCATAATCCGATAAAGGAAGTGTTTACCACCCTTCAGTTCAAGCGTAAAATGTCCAAAAATTGAAAACACTTTTGTACAAATTGAATATCAATCAAAAGCTGTAATAGAAGGTTCAGTTATAAACTAGAATCTAATTCGTATAAAAAAGGACTGTGTAATCTTGCAAAAAAAAAAAAAAAAAGAAAATTTTGAAGTCTTTTTTTATTTTTTACTTTTTTTTTCCCGCAAGTGTACTTGAAAATTTAGTGACAGTTAATAGGAGGTTTTGTTATAAACTAGAATCTAATTTGTATATAAAAGAACTGTGTAAAACTTGCTACAAGATAAGGTATTGTGATAAAAAGTAGTAGAAAAAAAACAGTAAAAAAACTGTTTGTAGAAAAAAAGTTTATTGAGCATAAAAATTAAGAAAAAAAGACATTGGTACTCGGAAAACCATAAACAGTTCTATGCCAGCAGATGCTTTTGTTCAGTGTCCCTGCACAGAATTATGTATTTGCTGTCGTCGACCAGGATCTGTAGAAAAAAGTACCAGACGAAAAGCTACAGACTGATTGCTTGTACTGTTGTTTTAGAGATTGCTGCCTTGCTGTATATGACGTCATATTACAGAAGTTTTAATGATGTCAAGTACTATTGGTACAACTACGTAAAGATTACTAAAAACTGGTATTGATGTTACCTATTGTAGTTTAGCAGACATATTACATTTAGCAATTCTACTAAACGAAAGCCGATAAAATTGTATAAACAACAATTTTACTAGTTTTAAGCGCTTTACTGAATAAGGTTTATGCATTAATCTGCTTCATAGAGAGGATCAAAACCTATAGCTTTTCAAAAAAATTTTTCAGTTTTAAGCATTGTAACAAATTATCGGTTTATCAAAATTTATAAGACAAATCACAAGTATTTTTTTTTTTGTTTAATAAGCAGCCAAGGTTTTTTAAGACCAACACAAAAAGACAACAATTGGTGGCCGTGAAAATTTTATCAAAATTTTTTTCATGTTATAAAAATCTTGATAACTAGCATAAAAATTAGCAAAAAAATTTAATATAATCAGAAGAAAAACAGCTAAGTCATAACAATTGTTTACAAAAATGTTTTTTATGTTGACTATTTAATAAGTTAGATTAATTTTTTGCTTATTTTCAGTGTTCTCATATTGCACTGATACAGTTTTGACTATTATGCAACAGACGGTGACCTCAAATTCTTGACTTCGTTGGCAATTTACAACGATCATTCTGAATGCTCTCATTAAGCTTATGTTAGACAATTTATAAGTACAGCAAAAAATTTGCATAATCTTAAAATTATATGCTGATGAGCCAACAATTATAAAATTAATGAGTAAAGCTAAAATTTTTGCCACTACCGCCAAGATAAAAACTGTAGGAACAACTTGTTAAAGCATTCCTTATTTAAATGATATCTAAACAGTCTGATTAAATTCAAGTTTTTAGAATTTTTCCAACTGTAAGTTATGCAGCAACGTAAAATTTTAATACATTAAAAAATTTGGCTCACAAAAGTTAACTGAGAAATTACATACTAACTGAAAAGAAAAATTTTTAACATTTTGTCAAATAAAGTAGATTATCGTTTAAAAAATATTCAAACAGTCCCATAAATGTAATGGTTTCGCACATCTATGCTAAAGTGAAACGTTCTTCTAATTTATTAAATAGTTTACAGTCTTTTATAAAAATAATTTTCCTACTGAATCTCCTGCTTTCTATTCCATATTTTTAGGTGTGTTACTATTGCTAATCTTGTTGCAGTATTAGTCAAGTAAAGATTGAACAAAACATATGAAAACATGTTGAATTTACAGTAATCATTGGTTAACCCAAAGGCGGAGTTGTGAAGCCCGAGAAGAGACAAGAAAAGACGAAGAGTCGACACTTGAGTGGAACAATGGATTTTCTTCACAAATACCGATTGTTGCTTTTGCTGTTGTTGTCAAAAGGGGAGGAGGAGAAAAAAGTTGAAAAAGATCTGAAAGCTTTAACGGGTATAATGTGACAATAGATCGGTGAGGTGCTCTGTTGTAGCTCATCCGTTTAACATTGAAGTATACAGATCGCTACCAAAAGGTTGGCTTATTGTCGGCAACGATCAGTTCAGCCACACAAAAAGAGGAGCAGTTCTTGTTCGATTGCTTGAATACTGTTAAAACAATTGTTTGGACAGAGGTCAATCCGCGTCAAGTACCAGCTTTTTTTGCTGATTGACAAAAACTTAGCGTTGAAAAAAGAAAAAGGAAGGACAAGATTTATATCATTTCGTTCTTCCCAGTCATCTTGTCATACACAGGCACATCATGAACATTCAGGAACCATTTTCAACGGCGACTCTCTCACAGGAGAAGCTTTTACATATTTGGGGTAAGCATTACTGTTGGATATTTCTTTTTAAGTTTTCATTCCAGTTTTTTTTCTAAATCTTAACGTCAGTTTTAGTTACCGGAAACAGTTTTTTGCCATTAGATTTGTAAATGATATATAGGTTTGACTTTGAACTTGTCATACCAAAAATTTTTTACTAAAAGAGTTATTGCTATTTTTTGTTCCTGCGGTTGAAAAGCAAAACCAATAAACAGATTTTTTCAAATAAAAGTTATAAATTTCTTTTCACGGCATAATCAGATTCACCAATTACTGTTAACAGTTTTGTTTCATTTAGGTAGTCGAAATATGAACAAATTTGCACAGAAAAAGGCACAACCAGATGGTCTTCAGCAGGACTTAAAAGCTAGTAAACTACAAACAACAGTAGGCACAAAACCTAAAGTTTGTCATTGTCTCATCTGCATCGTACCTATTCCATCTTTTTAATTAAAAAAAAAAAAGAAAAAAATTTTAGTATTCAAAAGAAATGATAAATCAGAAATAGATGTTAAAAATCGTTGTGTTTCACTCCTAACTTCTGTTTTTCTGTTCTTAAAGACGCAGGTAGGCATTTGTTGTTGTCTACTTGAATTTCAACAAGTTATTATTTCTTAATTGCTAAAACTAACAAATATTTCATTTTATCTGTAATTCCATTCTGAATACTACCAGTTTTTACATGATAAAAATTTAGCACTTGTTTTTTTAGCACTGCAGTGAAATCTTGTTACTTTTTGGTAATGACAGCGTTCTTGCAGGTGGCAACTCCGGCTGTTGTAGCTAAAATCGAACAGTATAAGCGTGATAATCCAACAATTTTTGCTTGGGAAATTCGAGAACGTTTGGTGAATGAAGGTAATTAATTGATTAGCTTAGTAATTGTTTTTATTATATTTTGTTGTAAAAAGAGTGAAAAAGTTTAGATTTTGCAACAATGTTGAAATGTAATTAAATTACAAGCTGTCTTCTGCACTTTTCCAGGAGTATGCGAACAACCACCAAGCGTTAGTTCTATCAATCGGATACTTCGAACAAGGGCAGCAGAACGTGCTGCAGAAGAATTATCATTTCTTCTTTCCGCTCAACAACGGATGGCAGCAACATTGCTGCGAAGTGTCCAGTATCCTATACTGCCACCACACTTCGGGACACAGACTGGTCGTCTCGCACAAACGTCGCTGGGATTTCTTCAAAGTCAATGGCCAAGTTAGGAAGAATTTTCAATTACCACCTAGTTTGTTTGATATTATGAACAGCTGATAGCACTTGAAAGAAAAAATGTTCTTTTCACTGTTTTATCAAATAAAAATAAATTATCATAATTGAAATTTTAATTGGTTTTACTAATACGTTTTATTGTTCAGATGTATTTTTGGATCATACATCGTTGTTAGCTTCGGCTAGCACTCAGTCAACACCGATTCAGCCGGCTCGTCAAAATAGTACACCTCCAGCTATGTTGTTACCAATAAATTCATCAAAATCAACAACCGATTTACAGTCTTCACAGTATTTGTTAGCAGATGATGAGCTGTTATCTACGCCACCGTCTAGTGCTAATTCAAAACGAAATTCACGAAGCAGTTTTACTATTGGTATAATTTCTCTATACTAGAATCGTACTCTTAAATAACTTTTTTTTTTCATTTAGAATTATACTATTAAGTCTTTCTGTTTTGCTGCAGCTTGACTTTTTTTTTTTTT